TAATCATGAATTGGCTTCAAAATCCCGCTCTGGGCTGTATTTGTCATATTACCATGTGGTAAAATAGCACTACCATTGTGCGATAGTTTAACCCTATCCTAGCAAAAACCAGGACACATAGCACCAGGATCTTGGAAAAATTTATTATGATGCCAAAGTGGTGTGATTATATAATCATCTGAAAAAATTACCATGCTTATAAACAGCTAGCAGCCTAATAATTAACGTGTTTATAAATATTATGGCAGTGTTGCAGAAAAATCAAATCTTGAAGGAACATGCTAATGGCTTAACATTGTGGATGAGCACAGGACAGTATTTATGCCAGAGGTCTGACCTAGTTTTGAATATGGACATAGGTTTAAATCCCTATTCTCTTAGAACCAACTTGTTTATTATTTGTAATCATTTTTCAGCAATTTTACAACATATCTCTTCCTGCCACAAATTTTAAAACCTGTTTAATTCCTCCAATCATTATGCATTTTTATTCTGTCATCTTTACTATTCAAATCTCATTCTGTCCCAGCTTGAAATGGCTCTTGAAATCTCCATTCCTGTTCATGGCTCCTAGTGCTGCATTATTGCCTTAAAATACTTATTCAAGAAGAGTTGAATTTGCAAAATGTATTATATCAACAGCTGTGACAGCTGCTGATTTGCTTCCTTGACCTTCCTCTCTTCTCCTAACACCCAGCAGCTGCCTGTTACTGCAGGCAGAGGTTTGTAATGCCAACTATGTCTAGTGGTGAGAATTTACCACTGGCAAAAACCTTGAAAGAGGTATAGCATCAGAGAATGTTGCAAGCAAAGGAAAATATCAACTAAAGGCTTCCTACCAACCTCTCTGCAGCATCTGAACTTAGCAGTCTGCAAAGGCAGAACTTTGAAAAAAGTTTTTAGTATGTTTAATGCTTTTTTCTAAAGCATTACTGAAATGACTTACAACATAGTCTCTTTTAACTCTACATGAATGCTTCTGCTGTGATAACCGATACATTTAATTTCTTGGTGATATGAGCCACTGAACATTGATAAAAGGTTTTGTTTTCAAATGAGAACTTGCACAACATAATTAATTGAACGTAAACTAATATAATATGTACTCATAACTCAAGTCAGAAAGCATTTTATTATTTGGCATGATAAATGTGATACCTAATGCTGAATCGTTCCTGACAGAATGGACTGAAATGGGGATGTGACTGTATTTTTAAAGGAGTTACGTAAATGTAACTTCCCTGGTTTTGTTTAAAGACTGAAATTACCTGTTAGGAAGATTCCAAAGAGAGTTTTAAGTAAACATTGTGTTCAGATAGTGCCAAATTTTTAGATAGTTTTTAAAGCTGCTGTTTGAGATGATCATGAAGCCTTGGGAATCTGTCCCTCTGAATGTCACAGATCATTGATAGCTGTGATAAATTTCCAGGAACCCTCCTAAAGCACATTAGTCTTGTTATCAGCTAATCTTCAGTGCATTTCAGTAAAGACCCTATTCTTTAATACTTATAAGAAGTTCCTCTCCATATGTAATATATATGTAGAAAAGAAACAAAACATGCCAAAAATTGATTACAACTCATGCAGGTATCCACCCGTTATTTTCAAAGTCATTGTTTTGTGACTATCTCAATTTGGTGCATGCTGTCACTGGAAGAAGTCCAGTCCCTTTTGCTCTTCTGCACTATCATCTGTCCCCTCCCACCAGAGGGAGAGATGGTATCCGTATGGACATTGATGGGCCACAAGGCAAACCATATCAGCAAACAAATCCAGTTTAAAACTAACCTGAAAAGGAAAAAGACTAATAGTTTAGCAGGTCAGCTATTTGAGCTGATTTAAAATGTAGCTAACCAAAAGCTGATGTTAGTACATGGAAAGGAATGGAGGGAGCTATCACCTACAATTTATTAATAGTAGACTTTTGAATATACATTCTGAATATACATTTGCAAAAATATGGAAATTTTTTTGAAAGTGTCCAAAGCCAATAGAGATGACTGAAAGATAGCATTTGTTCTGTGTCAATGGAGTCCTAAATAACTGTCAGAAAATGTCTGCATTTAGGACTAGCTTTTGTTCAGTGTTATGCAGGGATGCACAGGGTAATAAGGGACTTCCAGTATGAGAGAGATCTCTCTCAGCAGTTTTCATGTTTATCTGCATAGTAGATAATTAAAGAGTGCAGGAATACCTGATAATGGAAGAATATCTGCTTTCACTGTGTGACTCTGGGAAATTATGCAGAAATTGTACTGTTCATCATTACAAAATGCTGATAAAATTGCCTTTGTAATACTGCCATAGTTAATGGGCACTTGAAAGAAGGTAGCATCTTCCAATTCGTTGAGTCTAATTCTTACTTGGGTGTTGGCTTTTTTAGAAAAATGACAGTTTCATGTCCAAGAGCTCAAAAGTTTATCTATATTTTGCTGATTACCACTTTTTTTTCATTCTTGTTTGCTGTTTGGTTTCCTCTACATCACTCATACATGCAGAGCAGGAGGATCATTCAAGTCCTCCAGGTGCTTCACTTGGAGCTGCCTCCATGCAGATTCCCATCTGAGATCTGGTAGCCAAGGCCTGCTAGCCCCAGGACCTTACTTCTGGGGTTGAATTTGCTCAGAAGTTTGATTTATCTGTGGCATAGCATGGATGCATGGATGTGATCTTTGTGCATGGATGCAGATCACAAGGAGCACGTGTGATGAAAGAGTCTGTTGCTGCTGTTATGGGAAATTACATGAGTTATTGACATGGGAGAACTCCAAGGTCTTGAAATCTAGGATGCAGGCATCACTGGCAACAATATCAGATGAATTTATTTAAGATGTTTGTTGTCCCTGTTCTTACAATTAGTTGACTTCTTTTATGATTGTGTAAAGTTACTGTCTGCCCAGGTCATGCCTTTTTTTCCTTTTCTCTTTTGATCTAATGTTGCCAATGTCTTTCAGCTTGTACATTTTTCCTTCTTCAATGTAGCCTCTAAAATCTACTTGTAATTATAAATTATCTGTTTGTTGTGTCTTTTGCTAAAGTGAATGAAACAAACCTTGAGTCTGCTCTTTTGGGAGTGACCCTCCAGTTTGTCTTTCAGGTTGCTAGACAGTTGCAATGATTTTTCTGACAAAATAACTGCATCAGGCAGTGTTTTTGGGCAGTGCTTCTGCCTTGCCTGTTATATAGCAGTGTCATTAAAATTAATTCCAACTTTAAAAATTAACTGAAAATAAATAGGCGTCCTTCACAACACTCTAGTGCTTTTTACGTTATAGTATTTTCAGGAAAACAATCCTAATTTGACCTACTGAATAGAGTGAGCTGCTCAGTGTTTTCTGCCTGTTTCTAGGTCTTTGTTGGATGTTAACAGTGTGTAGATGCTACTACAAAATTTCATTGTATATATTATGCAGTATGACCAAAGTTTTGTTTGATTTGCTATTGAACACTTAGATTTTGTTATTCCCTCTTAATATTTCATTTTTTAATTTTAACTTTACTTGATGTTATTTTTATTATTATTTATGGTCAATTTTGGTTCTTGTTCTGTGCTGGGAGAAGTGAAAACCATTCTGTATATACAGATGTATACTAAGCTGACCATAGACCACAGAGTTCACTTTTTCAGTCTTCTGAACCCTGGTCAAGCACCAGTGCTTCACATAAATGTGCTCAGTTTGTAGACATTAATACAGTAAAAAAAAAAAAAAAAAAAATCCAGCTTTGACATATGATGATATATCAATAATTGAAATGACATAACAGACATGCCCATGATCACTGAACCTGAAAGCGCTGGCAATTAATAGTTTTTGCACTGGAGATCTAGGTATCCAGAGAGATTCTATACTTTCAAAGAAAAACAATGAAATAAGTGATGAATGTATTGTTTTGCTGATCTAACACAACCTCTCTGCTGTTTGCTTTTCTTCCTATAGACCACCACTGGCCTTAACACAACTACTGCATCCGTCCTTCAGTTTTCCCTTGGTAAGTTTAGATCACTCTTTCACCTGAGAAAATGTAAAAAGTGTTGCTGCAAAGGAAAATGGCCCTCAGGTTCAGGTTTGGCTTTATGGTCAATGTTTCACTTGACATGAGGGACTAAAAAAATCTTTTAAAAACTGCAGCACATCTATTCATCTCCTAATCTAGAACTCCTATCTAAACCTTGGAAAGGAGTGACTCTAGTAGATACTCTGATGATGGGAGGCATAGTCATGTTTGGGTTTTATTTTTTTTCCATTTATATTATAATCTGACAGATAACATTATAATATCTTGCTTTTTCTCTGAAGTGTGATTACTGCTTCTAAAAAATGAACTTTTTAAACATTTTAAACTCTTGATATATTCCATGTAATGGCTGGGGAGTGTTGATTTTAACACATCTGTATGAACAGAATAGGTAGAGCAGACCAAAACTAAATGCTATTCAATTCATGTTATCAACAGCATGGTTGTATGCTATATTACTTAGAATACCTGATGTAAGTTATTGCACATTCTCACTGTGTAGTTGTGGTTATAAATTATGGCAGAAGTGGCTTGGGCTCAGGGTAAATTTGGAACATATTTAATTTGCTAACTCATATTTCAATGTTCAAAATATGAAGGAAAAAATGTTTTTATCATACAAATGTTTCAATAAAAAAGCAAGCAGGAAACGTAGCCTGCTTCCTCTGTGGACCCCTAGATATATGTTTCCAAGTTATATTCTTATTTTTAAAAAAATAATTCTCAAAAAGTATCTCAGCAGAGGTATGATTAAAGTCTGGAAATCTCAGATGGAAATAAGAGCTATCAGGTAGCTTGGCAAGCAGCTTGGTTTTTTTAATGGATCAGAAATCAAAATCCTAGAAGCCTCAGAAATACATAATTTAAATTTGTTTTTACCTGAAGTTGTTCATTTGACTATTTGAGGTCATCTTTACCTGTCACCCTGCAATTAACTGCCATGTTAATAGTTCTAAGGATTGGTATCTCTCCTTTTATTTTCAATTACTGTTTTTAAAAAGACAGAAAAAAATATCCATTCCTAAACTGAATTATTGCATAAATATTGGGCACATCCAGCAAAAACCAACGTGGAGCCACCCTGCAGTTTCATTCAGCCAGGGAAAGGGGAGCAGCTCACTTGTTTTACTAGAACATGTCGCTTGCCCGCAGAAGCCCTCCCACCCTTGGCTGTGCCCGAGCGTAGGTGACTTCCATAACACTGAACACTGCAAGTTTGTGATGATGGAGGAATTTTACTTTTCAGGAAAATTTACAAAAATCTTCTATGGGTTATTCTTACAGTGTCCCAGAGTGGGTAACAGCAGTGTAAACTGAATGGGTTGGTAGGTAAATCTTTGCTGTTACAGCTTGGCGGCTGCTGTCTGCTGCAAGTGGACTGCAGAAAGGTACAGGCTCCCAGAAGTTTAAAAATTAAACTTAGGATTTCACGAGTAGCCTTTGATCCTATCAGCTGGGGAAGGTCAAGAACAGGCTGAGTAGGAAATACCCTATATGACAGGATTGTCATGAATATATAGTAAGAATACCTTAATCTGTACCAGCAGGAACCAGTAAAATCCCTGATATGATGGAGCAGGAAAGGGGTGGATGCACATCAGAGTAAATCAAATTTCAGCCTGAAGTAGAAAATGTATCACATTTCCCCATGTGCCTATGTTAGGCTTGGAATACAGTGCAGATTGGTTTTGTAGCTGATAAAAACCGGCGTGAGCCAAGGGACTGCTGCTGAGCTCAGCAGTACTTGCCTTTTGAATCATAAATCTAAAATAGGCATTTGCCAGTTTCCAGCTTATTCCCAAATGTCCGATTTAATCATAACCCTATTTAGGGATTCATCCAAGGGAATTGCCTTTTTTTAAAGAATGTTTAACACTTTCTATTGACCGCGGAATAGCTTAAGCTGCAATCTTTTGAGGGTGCCTTTATATTAAATTCATCACCTAGCTTTGTCCCCATTAAAGTGCATGCCCTTTGATTTCTCTCACCACTAATTACCAGATGGAATTCTGCATTTGCAGGTTATATAAGCAGATGAGGACTGGGAAATGAAGGGAAAAAAAAAAGAAGTCCTGATTTCACCATAAACCCCAGGTCTGTTTAAACTGTGTGGTCAGGAGGGGTAACACCCTAGTGAATTTTCATTAGTTGATATTCTGTGTAGTTTCCTTCATGTACCACCTATTGGTAGTTGGTATATTGGTAGTCTTGCCCTTTAAAGGGCAACAAGGTTGAAAAGGAGCACTAAAGATGAAGGCTTAATAAGGATGAAAATGTAATTAGTAAGGCCTATTTAGCAGACAAGACAACAGTAATGTGCAGTATCCTTTCTGAGGGAGAGCAACTTGTCTGCCATGCAGCATTCACTCGGACCCACCCAGGGCCGGTGGCATTGCCTTGTGATCCAGGGCTGCAGTGCTGTTTACAGTCATGCACTCTGTGCCCAAGTGTGCAGAAAATTTCAGTTACTTCAGATGTCTTAATCATCCATGAATACATTTCTGCAAGACCAAATCCTGACATATGAAATACAAAGTCTAGCCGTTTCCTTAATATTCAGTGTGATTGTTAATTGAGATATTTAAAGCAATGCCTTTGGGCTCTCTCAGGCCAGAACATCTAATTCAACAGCTTGGGACTGCAGATACTGCACAAAAGCCTCCAGACTCAGCTACCACACAGTGTTAGTCTGATTCATTAGCTGAAATATTCTCTATTTCTCACTCCAAAACTCAGGTTTTTCCCCTTGGCTACAGCTCTGAACTTCTCCAGGGATGAACATGATCTGTCATTCGCGTAGGCCACTATGATGGAAGGTGACTCACAGTACTGAGAGATTAGCCACTGAGCTAAGAACAGGAAGAAAGAGACCCATGAAATCCCATAAGGAGAAGAGCAAAGGCTTTAAAGGAGTGATGCCAAGGTGTGAGGTGTGCAAGAAGTTCTACTCATGTTGTTCCTTGGGTGTCCTCTTCAAGCATATGCTCCCATGGCTGTGGTGTATGTGGGCTGTGCATGCTCTGCATGGGGCATTCAGCACTGGCAGGCTCTTTCCATCCCTCCTTCCTCCGCAGTGCCTCTGAGTTAAAACACCAAGCTGAAGCTGAAGGCGCTGTGATGAACACCAATGCTGATCCTGGCCTCCAGGGCAGGTGCTCCTCAAGGCAGTGTGTGTCACAATGTGAAGATTGTTAATGGAAAATATTACATTACCTTGAAAAACTTTGTTCCGTAGCGCTCTCCTCACATCTTAGTATTGTTAGAACAGTTTTGGCTATTAAACAGTATTTGAAAATAGGAATAACTTGACAAGGAAAGCTCCTGCTCTTCAGGTTTGTTGTGTAAGACTGTTGAACATTCCTCTGAGGACAGGATGACTTTGACAGTGTCATGTACTGGGTAAACATAAAATGTTTGTAAGGCAGGATCTTTAAAACTGCTTTCCCTTCAACTTTTATGCTATTATCTTGAAGACCCTCTGTCATTACTAGAGCAAATTAACAATTCTCCCTCCCTGTCATTTCCTAAAAAAATCTGAACCCCCTACTATTTTATATTAAATCAAAATTGATTTGGGGGGAAAGGGCTTTCTTTTAAGTTTAAAAATATCTTCTGAGAGGGAATACGTCTTCGAACATTTCAAACATTTGGAACTTCAACTCCATTTTGTAAGGATCAAGCCATTAGTCTTGCAAACAAAGAACTAGCCAAAGGTCCAAATGGTTTTTTGCTTTATTTGGAGAAAAAGCTTAGGTTTTGACTCTCTCTTCCACACAATAATGATAAAGAACTTTGGGTAAAGTTTGGTTCCCAAATCTAACAGATTTTACTTTGGGTCAATCATTAATCCCTACTTGCAGTTAACCCCAAAACAACCTTTCTAGGCAAATATGTGAGTTGCAATTTTTTTCAAAAAATTTCTTATTCATTGGGATCTTGTGATGGGATTACTACTTTTACATAACCAGCATTTAATATTCTGCAAAGGACTACAGTGAATTTAAGAGACAGATAATGTAAAAAGGAAATTTTAAAAGTATGTAAAATCTTATTTAGAACTCAAGCAATGTGACATAAAGCTTGAAATCTGTCAGGGCCAATGCCTGTGCCATATCAAGAAAAGTTAATGGTAATTTTCTTTTGTTTTATACTAAATGCAGTCTTCTGAAACACCGTTCTGTTAGCTTAGTGGTGACTGTGCCAGAATTCCTGGCGTGAAGAAAAGGATATACATAAAGTCTGTGACAGCTACATGTTGTCCAGGACTTGCCACAGTTTTTATACTTCAGATCTCAAGTGACAAGACCATGGCGTACTTGAAAAAGTTGGATGATATGTTCACCGTGACAAATGAAGCATAAGAAATCTGGTATGATGCAGAATACCTCTACCTGCAATAAATAACATAATAAAGCCCTATCCCTAAAGTTCTGGTGGGCACTGAGGGTACTACTGAGCTAGCAAAGAAGATGCTGCTCTGAGAGCATTATTCGCTGTTAACATGAAAGACGTGAAGATGCAGAATGCTTTGATGAGCAAAGGTGATCTTCAGTGCCTGGACAAACAACAGTCTTGACACTGGAATTTCCTTAGGTGTTTTTGCTGCTTGGATCATATGGTTAGTCCCTGCTAATGCTAGAAAACAGACTTGACATGAAGCAAAACATGCATCTAGCACATCAATCTTCATTAAAAACAAAGTTTTCAGTGTGAGGTTTTAGTAGTAGGTATTAATCTGGGATTTTATCAGGTGGATTCTGTTTTTCCTCTCACAAAAATCCCAGTAGGTATTATCCAGAAGACAGGTCACTCATGTTGAGATCTGCGCTTTAGTCTGGAACTGGAAGCATGTGAACCTTAGCCATAGAGTAAGAATGGCCCCTTTCTCCTGCTGCTTCTGTGGTAGCTTCTTTCACATTGTACAGTCACTTCTGTGCCATCTGTTGCTATTGCCCCTTCCATTGTTCAAGCTT